TATAGGTTCTCTTTATACGTCAATGAACTCTACCAGACCAGAAGTAGTACTTGGTTTTGGAACTTGGACTCAAATAGTCGACAGGTTTTTGTATTGTGCAAACTCTTCAAAGGAAACAGGTGGAAGTAAAACGATTTCAGGTGAAAACTTACCTGCGCACAGTCACTACGTAGATTTAAGTACATCTGAAGCAGGTTGGCATAAGCATAGATTTTGGGATTGGTCAGCAATGAAAAAAGGTAAAGGATATGATGTTAAAGACGACGTTCAGTTTGCTATAAATTGTTTCTGGGGTAGCACACAGGAGAAGGAAACCATACACATCGCGTTTCAGGGTATACGCAAACAACGGGACAAAGTAAAGACTACATGCCCCTTACATGACAGTTTACGCATGGTATAGAAATGCTTTAGTCGTCATTTTCAACTTCTTTAGCATATTCGTCAGGAGTTGTCTTATATTTGTTAGGAACTGTCTTTGAAAGTATACCAATGAACCTTAACAAGTTTGAACGAGGTCTGACAATAGTCGTTTTATCTTCTGCTTGCAGTCTGTACATTTTGCCATGTTTGCCTAAAACTTCATAATATTCTCTTGTATACTTTCTTCTATTTTACGAACACGAATGCGAGTACCTGTCGAGTTCCCATTGTTGTCATAGTCAATAGTATTTTCATATGGGTCGCGTTTAGGTATTCTATTTTTACTTTGTACCTTTCTGAAGTTTGAAGCCCGGCATTCTTTCTTGTTTGTCTCTTTTGACTAAATTGTTAAATATATAGTCTTTCTCTAAGTCAGGGTTGTTTTTCATTTCTTCGGGGGAGTGGTTTCCCAAACCTTTTTGTTACGGCTATTGTAAATATTTAAAAACTTGTCTCATTCTTTGCCATGGAGAAATGTCTATACTTGTCGTCATATGACATTTCATTTACTTCACCACCTTGTGGTTGATTTAAGTCTCTTAAGATTTTTATACAACTGTCAATGACACCAAGAGCAGAATGGTTTTGGTCGACAATGAAATATTGGTTTACATTTTTTGAACGCAGATAGTTTTTTACATCATCTGATTTGAAAGAACTTTCACAGTCAGATGTCAGTTTTGTTGGATGGTATTTGTCAACGAATATTGTCAAAGCTGCTAAGATATCTAAAATATTTTTGGACTGTAATGGTATGGCTTCACAGTATCTTGTGTTTTGACCAACAAATATTAGCCAGTATGGTGGTCCATCTTCTCTATATCTCGGAATGTTTTCCAAGATATCCATAAACCAAGCATTTGGTGTTGAACTAAAGATTTTTATCATGAGTGCTTTCTTTGTCGCTTTAGAAACATAGGGGTCCTTGTTTGGATTCGTCATTTTTAACCCATAAGAAATGGGTTTATTTGGCGCATTAGCAGGAGTCGCATCTAGATTTTTACCCGCAGTGGGAACAATAGCCAGAGGTGTATTTGGAGTTGGAAGGAAGATTTTGAGTACATTAGGTATACTTAAAGAGAAAGCACAACCTATTATACAAACTGTACAGAAAGGTTGGGATGTAGCACGAGATGCAGCAAATCTTATTCCAAATCCTGAAACAAGAGGAAAAGTTCAAGGATGGATGGACAATGTAGGAAAACAAGCAGGAAACTACTATAACAAAGCAAATGACTACTATAACCAAGCAGGGCACTACATGGACCAAGGTGAAAGATTCTTTAACAGAGGATATAACCATGCACAACAGTGGGTAAACAACAACCAACCTCAACCGCCTCAAACGTGGGGAATGTAAAGTTTTTTACTGAGATGAAATGAACAATACAGCTTTGAGACAAATGGGTTCAAGATGGATTTGTCGACTTCCAGCAGTTACACAACGTGTTTGTCAAGTTCTTCCTATACCTCAGGAAGTTTTAGACCGACTTAAAAAACAACAACAACCAGTTGAAAACAAACCAAACTAAAATTTTTTACTGAGATGAAATGACCGAAGAAGTTGAAACGGTAGATTTGACACCACAAACAAAAAGTTCAGAACCATTGTCAAAACCTGTCAAAGAACTTACAGATGAAGAGAAAAATTCAATAATAGAAAGTGCCAGGTCTGGAAATACAAACCCTAACTATAAAGTCACTTTTCATAGAAATGGAACGGCTAGTATCTCAAAAAAGAAACAGACTCTCACAAATAAAATATTGAAGTCTGAAGGAGCTTTCAAGACAACAGATGGAAAAGTTTACTTCACTGACCAACAGTTCATTATAGAACATCTCATTGACTTAGAGTCGAAATATTCTAAACTTTACAACAAACACAAAAAGTTGAAAGGAAAACAAAAACAGATGGCATATGATATTTATGAAGATGTTGACGACACAACTGTTCAAGCAAGTGAGGTAAAGTCAAATGAACCGAAAAGTGACGAAAAACCAATAGAAGAAGGGGAGCCAAAAACTGAAGAAAAACCAAAACCAAAGGTTAGTTTTCAAACTAAACCAAGCCAACCTTCATTAGCTGGTATGGGTTGGCGTCAAAGGCTTATGGCAGCGGGAGGTTATGTAAAGTAAAGAAAAAATATATTTTTTTATTTGAAATGTACGCTGAGTTTGTTGGAGAAGACCGTTGGGAAACTTGTTTGTTAGATGAGAAATATGAAATGGCATACCATTTAAAAATAAAACATTTTTTAAAAAATATATTTTTTTATTTTATTTGAAATGTACGCTGAGTTTGTTGGAGAAGACCGTTGGGAAACTTGTTTGTTAGATGAGAAATATGAAATTCACTGTTGTGAGTCATTTGAAGTCAGAAAAAAAGAGACAAAAAGAGTTTTAAGCGAATGGGAGCGAAATAACGGATATACTACTATGAAGATGGGTGGAAAACACTATTTTAAACATGTTGTCATTGCAACTCATTTTATACCGAATCCTAACAATTTACCTTTTGTAGACCATATAAACCATATAAGAAACGACAATAGACTTGAAAACTTACGTTGGGTCACTCGTTCTGAAAACAATAAGAACAAAAGCAAATTTGCAGATATTGTATTCGAATTTGTCGACGAACTAGAAGATGAAGCAATTGAAATTACAGACTATGGCGAGCATACGTTTGAGTTTTACTACTATAGCGAAGAACAAGACTCTTTCTACTTTTATACCGGCGTAAACTATAGGAAATTACAAGTATGTTTTACTAAGGCAGGCTATGCTTATGTAAACACTAGAGATACAGATGGAAAATACGTTCAAATACTTCTTAACAAATTCAAGAAGCTATATGGCATACCATTTTAAAACAATATATTTTTACATATATTAAATGCTTCAGGTTGAAAAACAAAGAACAAAAGCAGCAGATACAAAACCGTTAGACTATATCTTTACAAACGCCGGTAGAAATATTTCAGATGAAGAAATTTCATCCGGAGCTTATCGGTTTAACTATCCAATTCGTTGGCTTCAAAGTCCTTCAGATGCAAAGGCAATAGGATTTAGAAGAGTTTTGTTTTCAAAAAGAACTAACGCATTTATGTTCGCAGTATATTTTCATGGGCAGTATGAAGGTTCTGATGGTCTAATAGACAAATTTGACGAAATGAGAATCTTTACAATTCGTTCAGACGAAAGTCTTGAGAAAACTCTAAATGACTTTCAAACTCAAATAAACAAATACTACTGGGAATTTCAAGAAAAATACGACTCTTTACTAAATGGAACATACTATCTAAAACTAGAATACAACAAGATGAATTCCACCGTTTCATTTCAAAGGATTGAAATTAACCCTCCAAGAAGTACAGAGTTTTTATTTTGGGAAGTAGACAAACGTTCTTGGGCACAATTTCTTCGGTTACTAAACCAGAACGAACCATTACCACCAGATGGTCCATTTAAATTTATACGCCCACCAGCAGATTTGACAGTTTATAGAAACGTGTTTGACCCTCAAAATGTTATGTGTCATGCAAGTTTCAGTTCAAGCAACAATAGTTTTCTATGTATTGGTAAGGACTTTTATGACTTTGCTTCTAAATTCTACGAACCACCTAGTAACAGTTTCTCTGACTTTCAAGTTTGGTTCACAACAAATGGTGTGCAACATATTATTCCATTGTACTATGACTTTTATCTCGAATTGTCTTTCATATATAACTACGGAAAAGTGCTGAAAAAGTATTGAAAAATAATGTTTAGGTGAAGAGGTGACATCTCACCCGTTTTCTCACCTGTTTTCTAACATCGTAGAAAACTCATGAAAACAATTTATTTTTGACACTTTCACAAAAAACATTAAAAAAGTGAAGTTAAACGTTAAGGTTTACTGAACTGGTTGGATGTCGCCTTCACAGGTTATGTAGAATGGTTGACCCGAGAAGTGAAGGAGACCCTTGAGAATTTGTATAATTCGTGGAATTGGACTCTCTCTGTTTGGAAGTTGTATCCATGGGCGCTTTGCAAAGAACTTGAGAAGAGCTTCTTTCTTCATCTCCTTTATGTCGTCGAAAGGAGTGCCTTCTGGTACCTCAATTGGAATTCCAGTCGAAATCTCGAGAGTCAAGGCAGCCCTTCCAGAAATAGTGGTGAACTTGACCTTGGGCTTCATGACCTTGCGCAAGTAGTCTTTAACAAGCTCGTTAATTTCAATTAGGTAAATTGCCTCGTCGGTCGGTTCGACCTCGACCATTGCTACTGTCAGAAAAAGTACTGCTACTGTCAGTAAAAGTACTGCTACTGTCAGTAAAAGTACTGCTACTGTCAGAAAAAGTACTGCTACTGTCAGTAGCAGTACTGCTAGGAGCAGTAAAAGTACTGCTAGGAGCAGTAAAAAGGAAAATTTGAGAGGGTTTTCGACGATAAAGTACTGCTACTGTCAGAAAAAGTACTGCTACTGTCAGAAAAAGTACTGCTACTGTCAGAAAAAGTACTGCTACTGTCAGTAGCAGTACTGCTAGTAGCAGAGATTTTTATCGTTTGTGGTCCGACGGTTAAGCCACAGACGAATGTCCGACGTCCCACCAACCGAGCCCATTCCCAAACCAGAGGAACCTAAAGCACCAGCCCCTGCACCTCAGTTCCAGCAAGTCCAATCTCAATCCAAATTACTACCAATTCCAATACAAATCGAAGAAGGTCTGAACCGCTTACGCAAAGAGTATGCTACAGCTCCAATTGAGAGAAAGTTGTTGCTAAATTCAGTAAAAATAATGTTTATGTTAGAATGTTAGATCTAACATGTTTTCTAACACGTTTTCTAACATGGTCTAAAACTCTTGAATTTTCATGAAATTTACACCAAAAATAATGTTTATGTTAGAATGTTAGATCTAACATGTTTTCTAACACGTTTTCTAACATGGTCTAAAACTCTTGAATTTTCATGAATTTCATCGTAAATGTTTTGTCGAAACTTCATCGTAAATGTTTTGTCAAACATGAACGTAAATGTTTTGTCGAAACTTCATCGTAATGAGTGTAAATGACCCAAAAATATAATTTATGTTAGAATGTTAGATCTAACATGTTTTCTAACACGTTTTCTAACATGGTCTAAAACTCTTGAATTTTCATGAAATTTACACCAAAAATAATGTTTATGTTAGAATGTTAGATCTAACATGTTTTCTAACACGTTTTCTAACCTCTTGAATTTTCATGAAATTTACACCAAAAATAAAGTTTAGTTTTTTAAAAAAATATTTTTTTATTTTTATTGTAAGAACAGAAATGTCAGTCGAAGCAAAAACGTTCACTAACAAATCTAATGGCGAAACATTCACAAAAGGCACTTATAACGGTATTGAAGTCTTACGTAGAGACAAGGATGGTTATATAAATGCAACAAAGATGTGTCAGCAGTTTAGGAAAGACTTTAGAAGGTTGTTGGAAAATAAGTCCTGGGAAGAGTATTATAAGGCATTTTGTGAAGAATATACCAACCCGCGGAAAACAGCGGGTTGCTTTTTATACAAAGTTCATGCAGGAATTCCGGATGAAATCAAACAGGTTAGAGGAATGTATGTAGACCCAAGACTCGTAAACTATATTGCAATGTGGGCTTCTCCAAAATATTGTATAGCAGTTGGAAAAATTATGGACTCCATAGACAAGAAAGTTCATGAGAAATTAGATGAAGAAGAACTTGAAGATACAGTAGAGAATGCAAAACCTTTGTTTGAAGAAGAAGTTAGAAAAAATGTGCTTAAACAAATAGAACATGAACGTGAGATATGTTATGGTTATAGAGACTCTCCATACGAACTAGACCAATGGGAACAAGAAGATTTAAAGAGAGAATTTAGAGAATATGAACTCGCTAAGATAGCATTAGAAGCTGCAGAAAAGAAGTTAAAAGTTTGGGGTCGTTTTGTACAAAAATATTGTGAGTAAATGAACCATTTTTTTTGGCAAAAATATATTTTAGTTTTTTTTTAAAAAAAATATTTTTTTATTTTTATTGTAAGAACATGTTAGCAACAACAACACCAAACTCTTTAGTCATGAACCCAACATCTATGTTGGTAGAGATGAAAAACTTCATTCCTTCTTCATATACTTTCGAAACAAAAATCCAGAAGATAAAGCAAGAACTTTTAACAAGTAATTTAGACTGTAGTGCGAAAGATGAAACAAATGAACAATATCTTTATGAAATGCAGGACATTATTGACCATCTACCTAAACTTCCTGAAATACAACAACAAAAGCTCACTATTCCTGAATTCGATGAAATAGAAGTCAGACTGACTGACTCAGTAGAAACCAAGAAGTTCATACGTAAGGTAAACTATGAGTTTCTAGGATTTCATTGCAACCATAAGGTTATGGACAAAGATTGCGACATGGTATATAAGAACATCTCTGACCTTTACAAATCCGAAGAATTTAAGACCTACGACAACTTTGTTTCGTTAGTTGCAAAATGTGTTTGGGAAATAAGAGATAAAGATAGTAGGGGTAAGGTATGGAACGAACAAATAAAACCCGCTATGTTCGAGATGAAGAAAACCATTGACGCCTTAGTTGTTTTAGCAGGTAAGGTTTCAGAATATAACGCAAAAATGAACCCGCAATGTTCAAAATGTAAAGCAGCAATGAGGAAATATAACTACTCCGTCAAAGAGATAGAACGTATGCGAAACGACTATGCAGATTTAAAGAAAGAAGCAGAAAAACCAGCAGAAGATAAAATGAACATGTTAGAATTTCTGAACAAAAACTATCCAACCGCTAACGATTTCCTTCTATCTGACGTCAAGAAGAAGTATAAAGAAACTTTCGGTATCGTTAAAACATTCGATGTACTAAAAGAAGAAATAGAAGCTACGAAATTGTTTAGAGTCATGAACCATCGCAACATATACCATGTAAAACGCTTGTAAATAGTTATGTTAGAAAACGTGTTAGAAAACATGTTAGATCTAACATTCTAACATAAACATTATTTTTATTGAATTCCGTATGAAATTTCATGAGTTTTGTATGTTTTAGACCATGTTAGAAAACATGTTAGAAAACATGTTAGATCTAACATTCTAACATAAACATTATTTTTATTGAATTCCGTATGAAATTTCATGAGTTTTGTATGTTTTAGACCATGTTAGAAAACATGTTAGAAAACATGTTAGATCTAACATTCTAACATAAACATTATTTTTATTGAATTCCGTATGAAATTTCATGAGTTTTGTATGTTTTAGACCATGTTAGAAAACATGTTAGAAAACATGTTAGATCTAACATTCTAACATAAACATTATTTTTATTGAAAAATGACCAAAAATCTGAGTAAAATGGCATAAGATTGCTTCCCTCGGAAAAACCGAGAGAAGAGATTCCGTATGAAAATCGTGAAATTTCTCTAGACCGGATTTTACCGGCCTTGCCTAAAACACATGAAAATCGTGAAGAACAGCGACCAGGGAAAAAAAAACTTAGTCGCCTAAAACTCATGAAAATCGTGAAATTTCTCTAGACCGGATTTTACCGGCCTTGCCTAAAACACATGAAAATCAGGAAGCACAGCGAGACCGTTTTTTTTTCTGGGTCGCCAAAACTCTATGAAAATCGTGAATTTCCTTAAGATAGAAAAAATAAAGTTAGTTTTTTATAAAATATTTTTTTTATTTTGTATGTAAGAACAGAAATGTTAAACATTGAGTTTGAAACAGTTAGAAAGATAGACAATAACACCAAAGTGGTTCGAATTGGTGATTTAAACGTAAGATACTCAAAGAAATACAAAAAATATTCTTTGTCAGACATTCTAACACCATCTGGAAAGAGAGCAAAGGACTGGGTTAGAAATGCTTCAACTCAGAAAATTTTGACAAGAAATCCTGAGCTTTTGATATCGGTAAGATTCTATGGAACTACAGCATATCTCATTGACAAAAGTCTTATACCAATAGTTTTGTTATGGTTAGACCCAGTTGTTGGATATAACTTCATAACTTATGGTTCATTCGATACGGAACGTTGCAGTGAAGGCTTACTTTACATTGTTCAGAAACCGAAGGACTTCAATACAAAAAGATATAAGATAGGAAGAACATATAATATAACTAAAAGATATGACTCTACAGTCAATAGAGTTAAGGTTGTGTTTGTTAACGATATGAGAGCTGCTGAAACAGAACTACTTGAAAAGTTTGAGAAAATGTATGGTGCTCCCATAAAAGGTAAAGAAACGTTTGAAGTAGATGAGATAGATAAAGCTATAAAATTGTTTGACGAAGTTGCTGAAAAATACATGTAAAGCGTTTATTTTTGGTCTTTTGTGAAAGATAGAAAAAATAAAGTTAGTTTTATTTTTATTTATTTTTTTATCCGGAATATAAAGACAGATATGTCAACATCAGAGAACACAACAACTGCTATCGTTCATGAAGCTATAAATGAAGAATACGAGTGGGTTCAGTATAACAAACAGTTACGTCTCATTCGTTCGGTCAAAGACGATATGTACCAAATGCAAAGTATTTTGAATGCTCTTCGTTCTACAAAGCAAGCATACCATTGGTTTGAAAACCAACAGACAAAAGAACTTTTAGAAGAATTTCCTCATATGTTTGCGTCCCTCGGAAAACCGAGGAACGAGATTCCGTACGAAAATCGTAAAAATTTGCCAAATGGTTTGAAAGGATATTATGTACATAGACTTCTTGTAAATGCTGTTGCAATGTGGGCTTCACCTCGCTATGCTTGTTATATTTTCATGATGTTAGACGAAATTCATAGACAAGAACGTGAAGAGCTAGAGAACAAGCTTGAAGCAAAAGACAAAAACATTCAGAAAAGAATACCACGTTCGGTACCAAAAGGAAAGGAAAAGAACTATAAGTATATGATTTACACTGAAGAGATGGAAAATGAAGAAGACAGAGATATGGTTATGTTGCATTTAGTCAGAAGAAACAACAAAAGCTTTTACGACCTTGCTAAGATTTACAAATCTGACAGAAATTGGTTCTATCGCGAAAACTTACCGATTTCAATGACTCCAAATGAAGATGTGAAACAAATAGTTCAAGATACGTTACCTCAAACACACTATGATATGAAAGGTTGTACAATTCTTACATTCAAAGAAGATTTGCCGCTACTGAAAGAAAAAATAACAGAGTATTTTGACAACTTCAAACAAGTAGAGTAAATTGCACTCTTTATTTTTCAAGCTTGACTTCAGATGGCTCAGGTAGCTCTATAAGGTAGATTGCCTCATCTGTTGGGTCTATGTCGGTCATTGTTTCAAGACAAGTCTTTTACTTTTTCAAGACAAGTCTTTTACTTTTTCAAGACAAGTCTTTTACTTTTTCAAGACAAGTCTTTTACTTTTTCAAGACAAGTCTTTTACTTTTTCAAGACAAGTCTTTTACTTTTTCAAGACAAGTCTTTTACTTTTTCAAGACAAGACCCGTTATTTTTCAAGAAATTTTTTGGTGTAAAGTTCTCAAATTTGAGAACAGTGGTCTTGATTTCAGACGATACCCGTACTTTTTCAAGACAAGTCTTTTACTTTTTCAAGACAAGTCTTTTACTTTTTCAAGACAAGTCTTTTACTTTTTCAAGACAAGTCTTTTACTTTTTCAAGACAAGTCTTTTATTGTTTCAAGACAAGTCTTTTACTTTTTCAAGACAAGTCTTTTACTTTTTCAAGACAAGTCTTTTACTTTTTCAAGACAAGTCTTTTATTGTTTCAAGACAATGTCCGACGTACCACCAA